TCCAGAACTCTTTTCATCTTGCAAAACTGAAACTCTATCACCACTAAACACTGACCTCCCCTTACCCCCTCCTCCAGCCCCTCACAACCACTATTCTACTGTCTGTCTCTATGAATCTGACTACTCTGGGTACCTCCTATAAGGGGAACCATACAACATTTGTCTTTTTGTGACTGGCTCATTTCACCTAGTATAATGTCCTTAAATTTCATCCATGTTGTAGCATGTGTCAGAATTTCCGACCTTTTTAAGGATGAATAATATTCCCTTGTATGTATGCACCCCATTTTGTTTATCCATTCATCTGTTGATGTACCATTTTATGTTCCCACCAATAGTGCACAGGGGTTCCAGTTTCTCCACATCCTCACCAATACTTGTTACCTACCTTCCTTCCTTCCATTCTTCCCTTTCTTCATTCTTTATTTCTTTTGATAGTAGCCATCCTAATGGGTGTGATCGATGGTTCTTTGAGACATCTTTATGCTTTACTGTAGGATTTCCTGATCTATGGGTGATCCTGTGTCTCTGGTGTGTGTACCAGTCTTTTGGGAGTATTTTTACTATTAGTACCCAAGCCACAACCTATCAAGAGTATGTAGCCATGAAAAATACCCTAACTGCACCAACAGAAAGGGCCTCTAGGGGTGTCCTATACTCTTGGAATAAAAGGAAGGAGGTATAGCTGCTAGAACCCAAGAGGCCAGCTTCTGAGGGGATCTGGTACTACTGAGAAGGCAGGGCTTCCCTGGGAAACATCTAATGCCTGTTCCTACGGCTCGTGATAGGAGGAGACATTGGTCCACAAGCCCCAACAAGACCCGCGAAAAGAGAGCGGGCAGAGGGAAAGCGATGTTTTAGAACAGGGATCAGAAAGGTGGGCAGAATGTAGTAACAACAAAATCATATCACAATTCAAATTACTCTTGTGCCTATAACGTTTCTAACATTTTCACTTGTAGTCATCTATTTACAACCGTGCCTTTGGCTGCATCACTGCTTATAGATGAGTGCACCCCTTTCTAGTGAAGTAAAAAAGGAAAGGCACTGAGTAAGCAGCTTTGCTCCTCTGAGGTTCTATTTATACAGAGACCCACAGAACAGTGAAACTGGAAGGGATTTTAGAAATCATTTAATTCAACCTTCACAGAGGAGGAAACGGATGAAGTGGCTTTTGGGAAGGTGGAGGTGGAACAGTACCCACTTCTGCTGTGAGTAAGTACAAATAACCCGGGAAGTGCTGGAGCCAGAAACCAGAGAAACGTTTCTGTGATAACCTTGACTCAACAGTCAATCCTTAATTTTCACCCTGGGTTGGCTGTTCTCTGATTTTATTCCACAAAAGCCTCTAGAACATATTCATAAAACATATTATATGAGTATGATTTGCAGACTTGGTTGTTCTATAAACACATATTTTCTTATAGCTGGATTTGACTTTTTCCCCACAAATTAATTGCACAGAAAAGGAAATGGGCTTGTATCATCATCCTACAAAGAAGCAGGCCCCCAAAGATAGCTCTCCTTTTTTCAACTTCTCCCGCACAGTGGATTGAAATGAATATAAAAACTGGGTAGAAAAGGCCCAGTGTTGCCACGTATGTGGAGGAGGGGGCACTTGGCTACCCTTAGGCACAGACAGGAGAGAATGCCCTGTTTTTGTGGACCAACAGTGAAATTGGTTCTGTGTCAATGCCAGGGCCTGACAATGTCCCTCACTAAACACAGAGTCAGAGCAAGAGTCCCAAGCAGGCCGGGAAGGCCAATAGGAAGGCTGGGAGAGGGCTTCGAGGATGCGGGGAGGAGCGGCAGAAGGCCAGAAGGCGTCCCTGAATTTGTGACAGAAGTAAAGGGGCTTAGTAAGTCCATCACTTAATATGTGGGAAACTGAGTCCAAGAAAAGTGAAGGGACTTGTTTAAGCCCTTACAATCTACGGGTGGCAAAACTAAGACGAATCTCTATTCTGATTGCCGTACCCTAACTTTCATGCTGGAGACCCCTTTTGCCTGTGCTGTTCTTTTGCTAGGAGCAGTTCAGGGAAGACAGCAAGTCACAGCAGGTTATACTGAGAGCCCTGCAGCAAGCAGTGCTACGGCCGGTTACACAGGAATATAGCTCTCGAGCTCCCATCTCTGATCCAAGACAAAGTACAGCTCAGTGAGTGAAGGGGTTAAAGGCTTTTCATCTATAGATGGAACACAGCAGGTAAAGAGAGTTTACAACCTTTATAATGTGGACAGCATATTTAGCACATTCCTGGCTGCTATACTGAGTTTTGCAGTGCATTATGTTACTCAGATGTTTTAAAAACCATTCCTGCTTTCCCTCAATTCCCTTCTGGTCACCCTGAGAGATTCTGATATGAGTGACCCCTTGTTAAGAGTCACTGCTCTAGAGCCAGCCCTGATTGCCTAGTGGTTAAGGTTTGGTGCACTCTACCCTGGCAGCCAGAGTTCAGTTCCCAGGTGTAGAAGCACACTGCTTGTCTGTCAGTAGCCATGCTGTGGCGGGGGCTCACAGAGAAGAACTAGAAGGACTTATAACCAGAATATACAACTATGCACTGGGGCTTTGGGGAAGAAAAAAAAAACAGAGAGGAAGATTGGCAACAGATGTTAGCTCAGGGCAAAGCTTTCCCAGCAAAAAACAAAGAATCAGTGCTCTAGTGAGCCACAGACTGGAATGTGTCATATCCTATAGGTGTGCTGGGGCAGGGTGGACAAAAGTGTAAAAACCATTGATATAGCTCCACAGTAACTAGTCACAAGTCTGTGATCCTCTTACACAGCTGATCAAATCATTTCCTAGCACCTTCTAGAACAATCCTTCTAGACTAATAGAAATGCAATGTAAATTACATATGTAAATTAAAATTTTCTATTAGTCACATTTAAAAAGGAAAAAAGCAAATTAATATTAATTTATTTAACCCAATATTTCCAAAGTATTGCCATTTCAAAAATAAATAAATATATATATATATATATATATTTTATATTTTTCATGCTAAGTCTTCAAAATCTGTTTTTTTTTTTAAAGATTTTATTTTTCCTTTTTCTCCCCAAAGCACCCCTGGTACATAGTTGTATATTTTTAGTTTTGGGTCCTTCTAGTTGTAGCATGTGGGACACCTCCTCAGCATGGCCTGATGAGCGGTGCCATGTCTGCACCTAGGATCCGAACTTAACCACTCGGCCACGGGGCTGGCTCCTCTGATGTGTATTTTACACTGACAGCACATCTCAATCCACAATCAGCCACATTTCAAGTGCTCAACAGCCACATATAGCTAGTGGCTACCATACTGGACATGTTACTACCCTCGCCTCTCCCACTGACATAAGTTTGCTCCAATAGAAATAGAAATTTCTCCATATTGTAGCCATTCCTACCCATGTGAGGCCCCTTTCTTTCCAGGTCTAATGCTTCTACTTCGGTCTTTATTCCATCTCAACTCTCCTCCAACCGTCCATTCAGTCATCAAGTTATCACTACTGAGTGCCTACCAAGTGCTGGGTATTTGTGTTAACTGATGAGGCTGAAAAGATAAATCAGACATAGACCCTGACTTCCAAGAGCTTTCAGCTTAGTGGGAAAGGAAGGCACGTACAAGAGAGTTTGATGAATGCTACACACAAAGGGATGCACAGAGCAGGAATGACTGCTTCTCTGGGGCTTGGGCTTCTGGGAAGCATTTGCAAAGATAGGAAATTTGGGCTGGGTTTTAAGGGCTGTGAAAAAATTGTGGAGAGGCAGAGAAAGGTGTTTCAGGCATAGGGAACAGCATATTCAAGACCTAAGTATGAAGATCTGCATGCTTGGAAGTGGAAGGGTCCAGGAGGACGAGAAGATGGCAAGGAGTGAGGCTGGCGAGGTGAGTGGGGCCTCGACTGCCTGATGACACACTCACAATTACTGTGGGGTCATTCTCTGAGCAGGGAAATCTTGTGGCGGGTTATAGCACAGATTGGAGAGGACCAAGAAGCAAGGAGAGCCTGAACAAAGAGGGTCTCGGTACGTCTAGAAAGGAGGGGATATGAGCACTCAAGTGAGTGAAAGGAATGTCTGAGCACTCTTGTCTGAAGACAGTCTCAAGATGAGGCATTATGATGGAAGCTGGGCAAACAGTTAAGGCTTTCCAGACCCAAACTCACTATGCTAGTAGCTGTAGGACCACTAGCATTGAATTTATACAGGACTACTACAACCTGTGGTAATCTAAATGCCCTCTTTCCCTGCAGGAATTAATAGGGCTCCCTATGAGTTAATTTAGGCAGCAGGTAGAATCAAGCTAAATTATTTCCAGGATTGCTAAGTGAGTCACGCCTGTGAAATGCAGCAGGTGCTGGGGAGCACCTGGGCAGCTTGATATGATGGCTCATTTGACCTTGAGTTTTCTTTTTTTTTTTTAAAGATTTTATTTTTTCCTTTTTCTCCCCAAAGCCCCCCGGTACATAGTTGTGTATTCTTCGTTGTGGGTTCTTCTAGTTGTGGCATGTGGGACGCTGCCTCAGCGTGGTCTGACGAGCAGTGCCATGTCCGCGCCCAGGATTCGAACCGACGAAGCACTGGGCCGCCTGCAGCGGAGCGCGCGAACTTAACCACTCGGCCACGGGGCCAGCCCCTGACCTTGAGTTTTCTGAAGATAGTTGTGGAGCTCTCAGGTAAGAAGAGAGCAACAAGAACATGACATTTACAGCTGGAAGGAGCCTCTGAGATCCCACGGGTTCTCCTTTTATAGATGGGAAAGCTGAGACATGGAGAGTGAAATGGCTTCAAGGTCATATAGCCTGTAAGTGGCAAAGCCAAGAAGAGAATTCACCCTTTGTGGCACCAAAGCCACAGTGAGAATGGTACAACAGATGCCACGGAGAACTATTTACCTTTATAGCAAACTCAAGTAGAAAAAGAGAAAGTTAGGCTGGAGACACAGTAAGTAATAAAACTGTCTTTGTGAGCCCAAGAGATTTAGTTCAGTAGCAATAAACGAGGTACTCACATGGTGAATCATCTACAAAGTTTGGGTCGATGTTATGTAGCAGCTCCACTCTGGGGGATGGGCTTCCTTCACTAGAAAAGAATTTTTTAGGAAATGTTAATTTCCTCTCTAAAACGGGTAAGAATTATTTTAATACTTCCTTTCCTCGTGCTTACAGGAAATAAACCCGCCAGTTAAAAACTTTATCATGAATTCAGAGGTCTCCAAAATTTGTGGTTGGTGCATCTTCAAGTAGCCATCATTTGTCTACATAACAATGACTAAACACTTACATAAGAACTTCAGTGTCAAGCCTATGACCATTTAAAAAAATGACTCCTCTGACCCCTTGGAATAAATAATGTGGCTGCTGTATTTAAACATGACCATTGTCTACAGCAGGGAAATGAGAACTCAAGTCATCCTGTGTAGACTCCATACTGAACACCCACAGGGAAATGAAGAAAGAGCCTCTGTCAAGATGGCCGCACCAATATTACAGGTACAACATGCCTTTTAAATATTAGCCTACATGAGAAAAATTAATGCCTTCCATATCCAAATTTGCAACATGGAACTTCTATTTAATACAAATACATGTGAAATAACTACACCTCTTTAAGATTTTTGTAAAGCATACACGCAAATACAATCACAACCTACATTAGTGCTGAAAAGAAACGGGGAGATCACTTAGTCCAACCCTCACATTACAAATGAGGAAGGCACATGGTAACTTATTGGCCAAATGCTGAGTTGTGTGATTCTCAAAATACGTGTTCTTAAAAAATCGGGAGCATAAACACCATCAGATGTGTGTGGGCGTCCACGAAGTACCAGGTCATTTTGCCGGTATAGACTCAGCCTTATGGAAGAAGTCGTTAGACATAATTCTAATTGTTGGGAGAATCCTGAGGATTACTTGATAAGCCAATAAAAGGTTGCAAAGTACTCTTAACACCATTAGAGTTGTACACATCTGAATAAGCAATAAGGTCCCTGATGTAATCAAGAGGCCATGTTTTCAGTGACCCAATATCAACAGCCCAAACTCACAGCAAGTTGTCTACAGCAGTGGTTTGGGACTTTAAGGACTAAAAAATTTCAAAAACTCTGGGCTGTGACTGGCAACGTTGTATTTGCCAAGTAAGGAAATGTTAAAATAAAATAAAATTAATTTATTAAAAACAAAACCAAAGGGGCCAGCCTGGTGGCTCAATGGTTAAGTGTGCACATTCCACTTTGGGGGCCTGGGGTTCACCGGTTTGGATCCCAGGTGTGCAACTACGCACTGCTTCGCAAGCCATGCTGTGGTAGGCATCCCACATATAAAGTAGAGGAAGATGGGCATGGATGTTGGCTCAGGGCCAGTCTTCCTCAGCAAAAAGAGGAGGACTGGTGGCAGATGTTAGCTCAGAGCTAATCTTCCTCAAAACAAAACAAAACTTCAACCACCATCACCACTATTTTATAAATAAAGGTAACTTTAAAGCCAAAAAAGTACAAAGAACACAATCTCAGAATGAGAGTCCTTTAAATTGAATATATTTAACTTTAGTTATTCTATAACATTTCCTTGTTCCTCTGTACTCCATAAAATAAATTAACTGGAGAGTGGGAGGGAAATACACAGGGATACCTGTAGTCTTGAGGTCAGCATTGTGGGGGCAGGGAACAGATTTCCCAGGACTCTTCTCATTTTCTTCCTGAGGCACTTAACTAACTACCTGAATATCCTGGAGACTGTCAACCAGTCCAAAATGACAGGAACTAGAGTTTGATCCCAGAAGCTCTGAATGCAAGTAGGGGTGATGAGCAAAGAGAATGGTGAGAAAATCCGAACAGAATGATGATGATGATGTCTAATTTGGGGGGTTGAAAACAAGCAAATACAGGGGCTGGCCCAGTGGTGTAGTGGTTAAGTTTGCGTGCTCCACTTCAGCGGCCCAGGGTTTGTGGGTTTGGATCCTGGGCGTATGTGGACCTACATAGCACTCATCAAGCCATGCTGTGGCAGTGTCCCATATACAAAGTAAAGGAAGATTGGCATGGATGTTAGCTTGGGGTCAATCTTCCTCACAAAAAATAAACAACAAATAGAGTCAAAATCTGGATAATAATAGCAGGTAAGTCAGGAGGGCAAATCAGAATGAAAGGATTTTAAAATCTTTGTATTGTTCAGAAGAAGGTAAAGCTGTTGCTTAAATTTAGATTTAGCTAAGTAAAATTTGCATGTTAAATTTTTAAGATAATTGAAAAGCAAACATAGAATTTTTTTGGACTATAGAAAAACAAAACAAAATTCATTCAACTCAAAACAAGAAAGAAGGTGGGGGAACCCAAAAATTTCAAGGTGAAGATATTAATACCTAACTACTCATCTTTAAAAGAAGAGTTCACTGGAATACCCCAAAGCATTAGGCAGAGCTAAATAAAAGATATTTTTCTCATAATGTTGAGACAGAGTTTATCTGTATATTATGCATTCATTTCATTTTTCCATTATTCAGAAGAGCCACAGATATTTCAAAATAAGGAAACTTAATAAGATGAGATGGCATTTTGAACACCAAAGGTTGTGAGTAATCCCAGTGATGAATTATTTGCTGGGAAGAAATCTTCACAGGCAGAATCATCATGATGCAAAGAGCAGCAAACCAAACCAAACCAAACCCAACCCATCCTCTTAAGTCAAGTATGTTGTAACGCTGCTTTAAAAAATGTCCTAGTCAGAATATTTTGATAATGATGTGGTTAGAGATATGAGACAAGAAAACACAATACGTGACAAGTGACTAAAACAATGACCAAACATGCTTAGGGACTTCAAGTTATTAAATAAACCAAGAAAACCAAATGTACATTTAAGTGAACTGAATAAAATACCATAAATCTTGGGTTACCCCACCTCAAAATATAAAAAGTTGTTAAAATCTCTAGACAAGCTCATGTGCCAATTCCCTGGGCCTAGTCCTTTAGAAAATGATGGACTTTAGAAATATCTCTGGGTGGATTTTTTAAAAAGATGCACACATACATGGGAAGGAAAGATGGTAATAGTGAAAATATGGAAAAATATGCGCCAAATTGTTAACTAGTTGGGTGAAGCTATAGAGATCTTTCACTTTCTATAACAGGCATGTATTATTATTGCAATCAGGAAAAATTTAAATTTTTTTGAGTAGTTTATAATTTATGGAAATTTCTAAGCTCCCACAAACACAATATTGAAAAGTATAACAAGGAGAAAACTCAGATATTTTACAGTTTAAGAGTTTAAAGACAGGAAAACTACCTATAACTACAATGTACATGCAGTATTTCAATGCATTAGTTAATCTTTGGAATTTAATCATATTATACCCTATGATAAGCTATCACAATAACTGATCATGTAATTTCTCTCTCCAGAGTCTAGAAATTTCCCTGTATGTCAAAGAACAGGATTGCCTTTACCAAAATGTAGAAAACACAGTAATGGGTTTAAGGTCACTAGGTCCTGAAGGCTCACCACTGAAGTCATTTCTTTCCATTTCAGCAGAGGGTGCAGGCTCTCAGTGCCTGGGATGGAGGGGAGGAGAGGACGGTGAGGGGACAGGAGGGGAGGAAGACATGCAATCCCTATTAAAATTCCAATGGTGGTTTTCACAGAAATATAACAAACAACCCTAAAATTTGTATGGAACCACAAAAGACCCCAAATAGCCAAAACAGTCTTGAGAAAGAAGAGCAAAGCTGGAGGCATCATGCTCCCTGATTTCAAACTATATCACAAAGCTGAAGTCATCAAAACAGCACGGTACTGGCATAAAAACAGATACACAGCTCAATGGAACACAATAAGGAGCCCAGAAATAAACCCACACATATATGGCCAATTAATGTATGACAAAGGAGCCAAGAATATACAATGGGGAAAGGACAGTCTCTTCAATAAATGGTGTTGGAAAACTGGGCAGTCACACGCAAAAGAATGAAACTGGACACTATCTTACACCATACACAAAAATCAACTGAAAATGAATTAAAGATTTGAATGTAAGACCCAAAAACATAAAACCCCTAGAAGAAAACACAGGCAGTAAGCTTCTTGACATCAGTCTTGGTAATGATTTTTCGGATCTGACACCAAAATCCAAGGCAACAAAAGCAAAAATAAACAAGTGAGGCTACATCAAACTAAAAAGCCTCTGCACAGTAAAGGAAACCACCAACAAAATGAAAAAGCAACCTACCAAATGAGAGAAAATATTTGCAAATCATTTATCTGATAAGGGGCTAATATCCAAAATATATAAAGAACACATACAACTCAATAGCAAAAAAAAATCTGATTAAAAAAATGGGCAAAGGATCTGAATAGACATTTTTCCAAAGAAGACATGCAAACAGACAACAGGTATAAGAAACGGTGCTCAACATCACTAATCATCAGGGAAATGCAAATCAAAACCACAATGAGATATCACCTCATACCTGTTAGAACGACTATTATAAAAAAGTCAAGAAATAACAAGTGCTAATTGAGGATGTAGAGAAAAGGGGACCCTTGTGCACTGTTGGTAGGAATGTAAATTAGTGCAGTCACTATGGAAAATAGTATGGAACTTCCTCAAAAGGTTAAAAATAGAAATACCATGTGATCCAGCAATTCCACTTCTGGGTATTTACTCAAAGAAAATGAAAACACTAACTTGAAAAGATATATATACTCTCATGTTCATTGCAGCATTATTTACAATAGCCAAGATATGGAAACAATCTAAGTGTTCATTGATGGATGAATGGATAAAGAACATGTGTTCTCTCTCTGTATATACAAGGGAATATTATTCAGCCAGAAAAAAGAATGAAATCTTGCCATTTGCGACAATATGGATGGACTTTGACAGCATTATGCTAAGTGAAATAAGTCAGGCAGAGCAAGACAAATACCATATGATCTCACTTTTGTGTACAATCTAAAAAAACAAACAAGCCCCTCCCCCCCCCCAAAGAAAACATGAGCTCATAGATACAGAGAACAGATTGGTGGTTGACAGAGGTGAAGGGTCGGGGTCGAAATGGGTGAAGAGGGTCGAAAGGTACAAAC